ATAGATAGATAGATAGACAGATAGACAGATAGATAGGTAGATAGACAGACAGACAGACTGACCGACGGACAGACAGACAGATCAGACAAGACAAGACAACACAAGACCAGACCAGACAGACAAGACGGACCAGACAGAACAGACAGACCAGACAGACCTGGCAGACAAGACAAACCTGACAGACCAGACAGACCAGACAGACCAGACAGACCAGGCAGACCAGGCAGACCAGGCAGACCAGACAGACCAGACAGACGACGGACCAGACAGACCAAACAGACGACGGACCAGGCAGACAGACAAACGGATGGACAGACAGACAGACACACAGACAGACAAACAGACAGGCAGGCAGCCGGACAGACGGACAGACAGACAGACAGAGAGAGAGACGGAGAGAGATGAGAGAGAGAGAGAGAGCGAGAGACACACAGAGAGACAGACATAGAGACAGAGAGACAGAGAGAGAGGGAGAGAGAGAGAGAGAGCGATATAGATAGATAGATAGATCGATCGATCGATAGATAGATAGATAGATGGATAGATAGATGGATAAACAGATAAATACATAAATAGATAGATAGGTAGATGTTGAGATGGATAGATGGATAGATGGATATAGATGGATGAGTGGATAGATCGATCGATCGACCGATAGATGGATAGATGGATAGATAAATAGATAGACAGATAGATAGACAGGTAGATAGATAGATAGATAGACAGATAGATAGACAGGTAGGTAGATAGATGGATAGATAGGAATACAATAGCATACAGATAGATAGACAGTTAGATAGAAAGACAGACAAATAGATGGACATAAGCATAGCCCGACACTCCAACCACCTTTTTGATCCATCAGTGGGCTCGCCCTGCCATCCATGGTTCACAACAACCAAACTCCCCTATAGGTTTCCTATCTTTGAAATTTCCGCCACCGCGCAGTGCGGTAATGGACGGTAGCAAAATATCATATACACATTCTGCAGGGCATTCCTCGGTATCCTGGGTCAGGATGGGCTCACCCCAAGGTTTTCCAGAAAGGAGTACGATGAGTTTCAGATGCTGTACAACATGAGCAACCGTGACAGTTCAGGAGCTGAGATGGTTTTTCGTATCCGTATCAAACATACAAATTACAAAGTTTGGTTTCCATACTTGCCATGATTGGAAGGTAGTACGACTTATGTGGGGGTTGCATCTCCATCAACTTTGAGAGATTTCTTGGCTGGGTTTCTGGTGGTCGCCTGGCCGCCCAGGAGAAGTGCAGGTGGCAGAACTTAAGGCGTGGCAATGGGAAATTCACCATTGATCATTTCCCCAACGAAAGTTTCATTTATGGATTTCCAATTGCCACATTTGATTAGAGGGCACCCCAAAAATGCCGTGTTTAAGAAAACAAGGTGATGAACCATAGGATTCGGGAGCACCCCAGTTTCACACAAAAACACATGGATAATGGCCAAACATATTCAAGCATAAGTCAAAACCCAAACACCCCAGAAAATTGGGGTGAACGGTCAACATTCGTGTTAAGTAGTCACTAGCCGGTTCATGTCAAAAAAAGTCTGGTGAGACTTCAGTTTGCTGGTTGTTGATTTCCATCGCCCACGGATGATGATCCCCACCTGATTGAAATCTATGGTGTTCCATACTGCTGTGAACTCTTCAGAGCCATGCCCACGAAGAAAAACATGGTTTTCCTCACAGGGACATCGTCACTCCATACATGTTCCCCGTCATGTAGCAGGACGCTGTATTCAATGCCTTGAGGCCATATCATATCCTTCAAAAAACCAATCTTCTTGCCGGACTCAGAAGCTGCCATGTATGGGCAACATCAAATTTCCCATAGACAAATGTTATTGGAACTTATAACTTATAATGCTAAATGAGGTACAACTGACCCAATCTATCCATATCTATTCTAGGTTCCTGGGGACCGCAAGTTTTTCCTTCAAGCTCCCTTTCCCATCGGATCTGAGGTGATGCTGCACTGGTTAGGTTTTTCGGCCTCACACATGGCACCCCAGCTGGCGAGTCAGGCAGTCATGCGGTCACGGTGTCGGGATTTGGGATCTTCAAACCCCAACAAGGTGTGATAAACTGAATGCATCCTGATGCCATAAACCTCCAAATGTGGGTTTGTGTTTCTGTGTGTTTTCTTTCACCTATGTTTGCGTAGAATAAATTGGGATGGTTCATTATTGGGTTGTATCCACTCTTGATGGAGAAGTGGAAAGACATGATTTTGGTCGGGATTTGGGATCTTCGATGATTTGCCCTTGCCGGGTCTGATGACAGCACTGCAACCCCTCGCACTCCGGATTTTCATCGACAAATTTGGAACATCCGCAAAGCAGGAATACAGTACTTCCATGAAATGGCATCGCAATTTGGGCATTGTTCCTTTTGGATCCTTTGCGGGATAGGTGCAGATCTACTTATCGTTCCTTCCTCATCCATATTGCAACCCCACAGCAGGTTTGCTTCCAGCGTTCGGTTCCTTTCCGACTGTTTGGGTTAAAAGAAACAACGCACCACTTCCAGATCTTCCAGACCCAGAGATCGAAACCCAACAACAACTGCTGTTGGGAAGCCTCCAAAAGGTGGAACGCAATGGAAGTGGCTCTCTGAACTTCTTGGAGTTTCCTGGCAGTGCCAAAGGATTTTTTTGATCTTTTTGGTGGCTAGGGCACCAATGGGCCAACTGCAAGGCTAGCTAGTCAGCTAGTCACTTTGTTTAGGGTGTTTTTGAATATCACTTTTAACTTTTCAATTCTAGATATCAGTTATCAGTTTGACAAAATACAATATGTCTATACATTCGTAGTGAGAGGCATGAGTAGCATTGAGCTATGGGAACCGACCAGAGTTGGACACAAGACATGTAGTTATACAAGCCACTTGAGCCAAAAGAATTCATGACAACTTAACTTTTGTTTTCAGGGACAAATTACAAAATTTGTGGGTCGAAGGTGAGGAAAACATGTTTTGCCGCAGGAAGTTTCAGACGAACAGCCACCAAACAGTTGCAAGAAAAAACAGTGATGCAAGTTTCATGGTTCTTTGAATAGTTATAGGCATGGAATGGTTACGTAGCCAATCATTTTTTGATAATACGGGATATCGTTGGATCTGTGTAGAGTGTATATATATATATATATATACACTGTAAAACTTGGATGAGGCTTTGTCAAGCCCATCGCCAGAGAAACAAACGAAAGGTTCCGGGGTCTCCGCTACTCACTGCACGCAGAGGGGGGCTGACTGTGTATGCAACACCCTGGTCCCAGAAACCGGGCCGCCATTTTGGAAGCCTTTCCTTCTTCCGGCAATATTGCGGCCCCGTTTTTGGGGCCGGTTTTTGGCACCATCTTTGGGACCATGAGAGAGAGCAAGCAGGAGCTGCTCGACGGTCCTGACGGCCCGGATTTCGTCCATTTGCTGGCGCCAGCCTTCCTTCTGCAATGCAAGCCGCCATGGACACACACACACACACACTTGCTCAGAAATAGCTTATCGAATTACTGATGTGGAATGCATCGTACGTGCAAAGACACCTCAGTTAAACCTGACAGGAATGGTTAGATGACCCAATGGTTAGATATATATATATATATATTGCGACATCCCAGCTGCGCACGACGGCACCCAGGGACTGTCACTGCAGTGCCCAGCTACGGCCCCCACTTAAGGGGTTCCCGTCCAGGGCCACTGCCAGCAGGTACGTTTAGACGGGTCCCGGGGGGGTGTCTTCGTTGGCCACCGACCCCCCCGGCACCCCGCTGGCCCCCTGCAAATTATAGAAGTTTTACATCTATTCAGATGGTACACACACACATCATAATATTCTGAGGGGACATGGCGCAGAAGCTGTTTTGAATCAGTGAAAAGGGTCCACTTTCCGGGGCCGCAAGAAGCCATGCTAACCCCTTGCGCTCTGGCAGCGTGCCGCCTTTACAACGCTTCTGTCAGGAAGCTGTTTTGCATGCATCTGGGGAGAAGTGTGTGGCGTGCACTTGTTGCCGTGCATCCCGTCCGCGCGCTTTGGAATATATTATATAGTATACGGCCAAAGCGCTAAGAGGGACGTAATCTCTTATTTGCATGCGAGTTTGAGGGGCGTAATCGGGACGTACGAGGGGCGTAACCACAGATGGGAGGGACGCAATCCCTTATTTACATGCGGGTTGGAGGGGCGTAATCGGGACGTACACGGGGCGTAACCACAGATGGGAGGGACGGACGTAATCCCTTATTTACATTCGGCGTGAGGGGCGTTAACCGGGACGTCCGAGGGGCGCAATCACAGATGGGAGGGGCGTGATCCTTTAAACTTTATTTACATGCGGGTTTGAGGAGCAATAGTTTTGGGTAGCGTGGTCTCGTTGGAGTTTGTCCACATGGGGTTCTACACCCTTTGCCTGTTTTCGAGCCACATGCCTTCCCAAACATAATCCGTTGCAATTGGCTTCCTCACAGGTCGGTAGTGGAGAATGCATTTGGCTGGCAGTCGGCTTGTGCGCAAACGGCGCTGCCACCAGGGCCCGCTTTTGGGGCCGCATCCGCATATGAAAATTGCATTCTTGATGGTGGGCCCTCAATGTATCTAGTTGTTGTTATTTGGGGTTTGTTTGAAAATGGGGGGATACCATCAAACTAACGGCCATCAAACAATGGGGAAAATGATGACAACCCATTCAAATTGGTGGTACCCTAATATTTTCCACCATTATTATTATATAATTATATAGGAAAAATTAGGAAACGACAAGATGTGTGGTGTTGGTCTGAGGAATTCCACAGCACACATCGACAAACCAACCGACCGGTTTGCGAACAAAATGTCCTGCCATGTTTGCAGGGCCCCAGTGTCATTTCATCACCAGTGGATTCGTTTCCCCAGCATGTTCCACATATTTTCATGGCCGAAAGCCCCCAAATGTATGGCCAAACCGCTACCATGCAACCATGCCGCGGTGTGGCACCCGTAAATGCGCCACTCTCCGGGCACCTGGCAGCCCTGGGCCATAGGGCAGGTGGCAAGAGATGGCAGGGTCAGGCAGCATGGACGCCTGAAATTCGGCAACGTTGTCACTGTTTTCATTCCCTTCCGCCTGAGCAACTGGGGTCAATCTTGGATAAATTGATACCTTAAGACATCATTGTTATGTTGCAAATGGGGGCACATGCAATACTAACAATATGTTTTTGCAGGGTATCCAAGCTTGGCAGTGGCAACAAAACCCTTTCTTGGATTTTTTGGAGCAAGATTCAAGATGTTCATTTTGTTTCAATTTGTATGTTTTTTTTCGGTTCCTAAAACTATTGTCGTCGGCAAGCATGGCGATGGTTGGTTCATTCCAACCGTTTTTCGATAAACAATCGCTCTACAGTGTTAGTTTGGATAGAGCGTGGGCGTTTTGGCTCCCCAGCACCACCAAAGTACCAGAACACCATGGAAATTGAACTGAATCGTGAACAAACCTGAACTACATTCAATTATGGAGACTGGACAATTCCAATAGCTCTTTCTTTTCCCTCTATGTGGGTCATAAATAGTGTTTGCCGTCTAGACTATGATAAATGATAAGGCTAGAAAGAATAAGGTACTTGTGTCATTGAAGTGAGTTGGTGATGCTATGGGTCAAAGCCCTGGTACAATGCTAAACCACCAAGATAGGGCGGCAAATGGAAAAAATGTGATTGTTCTCACCAAATATAGTATATATATTTATATACACATGATTATGGGCCAGGCCGAAAAATGAGTCATCCCCAATATGGCCTTAAATGGGTGGGATTGAAACTGCAGCCATCCCCAAATTTGGTAGTTGTTCATGGCATGTTGTTTACTTACCACATTAGATGATCTATATATCCGTTTAGAGATCATTGTCCCATGAACACCTCCCATCCTTGGAAATTTGCCAACATTTGCCAACATCTGCCAGCATCTACAGGCAGCTCAGGGTTGTGACATGTTGCGACCCATCACCAGGTCATCCCCGTGCTAGCCCTTCCGCAGCTTCGTCGAAGACATGCGCGCCAGTCCCGAGCCTTGCGGGGAGTGGCACAGGTGCGATGGTGCTGTTGGGTATTGTTGAGTGAAGTCAACGACATCTGTAGCCAAAAAGGAGAGAATTTTGCAACATCTTAGTTAAATATACTTACAATAAATAGTGGCAAATTGAAGCCATTTTTATGATATTTTTTGTGGGTGGTTATGTTTTTGATCAAGATTATCCAAGAAAGATATTATATAAGACTAAGATGGTGGGTTAAATTTGAATCCTATAATCTAGCACCTTATGTTTGACCATGGGGCCAATCAGGTTTCGACCCGCATGAGTGTTAGTTTGAACCACATGAATGACCAAATCTGGCGGGTTAATCAACAGCAATGGGTGTGCAACCAGTCCAAAATTTGAAGATGGCCCAACCAGTGGCCCTTGTCACCAAAACAAGGAACGTATCACAGGTTCAGGGTGAATTCATTCTTTCTAATTTGTGTTTTTATTTTGTAAAGGAATTGCTCATGTGTATCCTGCCATGGATTTAGCATCATACTGTTTGTGGAAGAAATGTTGCACCAGTTGGCAGCTGTTGGCAACTATTACATAAACATTACTGCAAATAAAGCGATAAACAGGATTTTGCCCATCTGCCAACCGCTGCAGGATCTCTTCCATCATCCATCCACAGTTTTATGGTTTGCGTCCAGACTGTTTCCTGTAGACCTGGGCGGGGTCTTATCCAGCCAGTGGTAGTACTCGGAGGTCGATGTGATCTACAGCTGCTTGAGTATGGAAGCGGCAGAGAAACTGCAGACGCTGCATGGTTTGGAAACTCCAGAGCTGCAGGCGCAAAGAACGCCAATTTGATTCTTGGGATATGATGGGATTTAATGGGATAAGATCATTCGATAGATTAGGGATTCTGGTTGAAATTTGACGATTATGACTGGTTGATGGTTTCAAGTTGATTTCAGTGGACTAACATTTTCAGGGTTAAAACCACCCACCAGATAATACCAGATATGGTAAACGACCAGGGTGTTGATTTTTGAGGTGAGGCTCGACTGAAAGAAGTTGTGAAGCAATTCTGGTTTCACATCCAGCTGCATCACGATGGTGGCGAACGCCTTGCTATGGTTCAGGCAGAAGCCATTTTTCGTCTCTTTCCATATGTCCCTTGGCAAATTTTGGCTTTTAACGTGTGCGTGTTTCTCTACTGTGCCTAGACCCCTTTCTGTATGTGAATGTCTTGAATCCGGATATGCGCAGAGTTTTGAGTCCATTCATTTTTGGATTTTTCCGGCGAGTGTTTCCCAAGATGAATTTCTTTTCCGTCCCTACTTATGGGATCAAACATGATCAAACACATCATCCAGCTGGACAGCCCTTGCGCCCCTCGAGCCGCTAGGTGTTGGACCCTCCACAACAAAACGCTGGGATGGAGCTGAGCAGGGGCAAGGAAGACCATGGAATTTCCAACAGAATGACTCATGTAGGACGGTCTTTTAGACATTTAGAGACCTTGTAAATTGAGTTATGATTTCATAGGGCATCATAAAGCATCATAAAGCTACATTCATGTCGCGGTATCCAATTGATAAAATCATACTTCTTTGACCCATAGCCATAACATATCATAACATATATTCCCGGCACTTGGCGAAATCATTCCCAGATCCTTTTGGCTGCAGGATGTCATGTGCTGCCTCCCCACTGGTTCGGGTAAGACAGCCCTTGCAGTGTTTGCTGCATGGCAAGCTCTGATGAGAGGCGGCTTTTCAACCATCCAAAAGGGACCATCTAAATCATCCCAATGCTGTGCTTTTTTAATCATCATGAAGTGGATAGACTGTGGTATCTCAAAAGAAGGTATGTTTTTTTGACATTTCTGTATTCTATCTACTCCAGAATGACTATGTTGAGATATGATATATCTCTATATCTTCACATACACACACACATTTGACAGAGCATCGTTGGGGACACCCGATGTGGCAAGGTTTTTTGCACTGTCATGGTCCATGGGGTCAGCGAACTCTTTTGTTTCTGAAGACTCTACCGCTTTAGGAAATCTTGGCCCCCAAAGGTGACGGTTGGCCCGCACCAGCTGTTGATTTTTCAAATGAGATGTGTTTATATATATATATATATACATATTTATATTATGATTTATATATATGTGTGTGTGTTCAATATCACCATGACTTGCGCGTGAACTTGACTGAGAGAAGATATATGAATCTTTTACACGTAGAATAGAAGGTGTTTAAACTTTGCAGTTAGGGTTGTGTTGGGCTGAGGTGTACCCCACTGGCAATCCGCTACCCGCTATCTCACCGCCATCAATTTTTGGCGGTCGTAGTCCCATGATCTTCACGGACAGATATGCCATGATATGCCATAGAGTTAGTTGGCTGCTTAGTTGTTGTAGCTCATACGAACGCTAGGGTTAAGTCGCAGCTCGTTAAAAGTCGTATCGGGAGGCCGTGCGCCTGGAAAAATTCAATGTTGGCATCACCACAACTTTTAGTAACTGAATTATTTCATTGTTTTGGAGCCATGAAATATACCTATGTGTTTTAATCATAGTTATCATCAATTAGTTACCCAATTATAGCCCCCGTTTGCATAGCCAGTTGACATACCAAAAAGATAAGGAGCTTGCTGCTTGCTAGGCACCCCTTTACCTCGCTCGTTGCGCTACCAGGTGGTCGGCTGATCTATACCTCGCCCTTGAAGGCGTTGAGCGCGCAGAAGCGAAGAGAATTCGCAACAATTTTTGGATTTGAGGCCGTGGGCCTTGTCCCTTGGCCCCGTAGGTTGAAAACTGGACACTTTCACGGAAGTCTGGGAAAATCTGGTCATTAAAGAGCCCTGGGATACTCCCCAAAGGGCTACTCCTAAAAGTTGCTATCCTTGCAAAATAATTCTGAGAAAATCTGAAAAAATCAAAAATATCAAAAAACAACAAAAAAAACAATCCACGCAGTCCAAAACAAATTCCAAAAAAAATTAAAAAGAAACGCAAAAAAAAAGGAAAAAACAGAACAAATTCCCCAAAAAAGCAAAAACAATATAAGCTATTCAAAAAAGTTCAAAAACGAAAAAGTTTGAAAGAAAAATTCGAAACAATAAAAAAAAATAATAACAAATCAAAAAAACAAAATTCAAAAAAAAACAACAAACAATCAAAGAAAAATCCAACAAAGTTCAGAAAAAAAACGGAAAAAAAATCAGAAAAAATATCAACAAAAAACAAACAACGAAAAACAGGAGAAAAAAATAACAAGAAACAACAGAACAAAAACAAATCGAATAAAAAAATATAAATAACAACAAATCTTGAAATCATCAGTTGAAAAAACTTTTAAAAAACATTAACGAACAAGTATTTGTTGGAATGAAAAAATAATTATTTGGAATGAAATTGCATTATATATTTGGAAAGAAATTGAAATATTTCGAATTAAAATTAAATTTATTAAAAAGAATGTTCCAGGAGTGTCCCTATGAGGAATGTCCGTCTCCATAGACAAGATCTGGTGAATCTTTAATGAATAATGTCAACATCGGTTTTATCAACCCCCCCCCCTCGCCCCCACAAGGTCAGATGGACCTTGTAAGGTCTTTCCTAGTTTTGCCCCTAAATAAACGGCCCCTTGGAAGGGGTTGATTAATAAGGGGAACCCCCTGATTATTATTAATGGGGAACATGGGCTCATGGGGGGTTCTCTTTGGGAGCTATCCAAGCTGATGATTTTTTTAAAGAATTTAATTCGAAATCGATCATTTGGGGAATGGTGTTTTTTTCCCCGAGAGCGTCTGAGCGCAGGGTTCTTCCAACAGTGGGGGTCTGTAAAACATCTTCTCATCTTCACATCTCATCTTCACATTCTCTCATCTTCACATCTTCTCATCATCTTCACATCCTCTCATCTTCACATCCTCTCATCTTCACATCCTCTCATCTTCACATCTCATCTTCACATCCTCTCATCTTCACATCTTTTCATCTTTACATCCTCTCATCTTCACATCCTCTCATCTTCACATCTTTTCATCTTTACATCCTCTCATCTTCACATCCTCTCATCTTCACATCTGCTCATCTTCACATCCTCTCATCTTCACATCCTTCCATCTTCACATCTGCTCATCTTCACACCTTCCCATCTTCACATCTCATCTTCACACCTTCCCATCTCACATCTTCTCATCTTCACATCTGCTCATCTTCACATCTGCTCATCTTCACATCTGCTCATCTTCACATCTGCTCATCTTCACACCTTCCCATCTTCACATCTTCTCATCTTCACATCTGCTCATCTTCACATCTGCTCATCTTCACATCTGCTCATCTTCACATCTTCTTATCTTCACACCTGCTCACCTTCTCTCTCACGCCTTCTTTTTATCTTTCTCTCTTAAGGCCGAGGGTGGTGCCGGCGGCGAGTCACGAAACGTCAACCTTTTCGCACGAAATGAGGGTCGCTCGGTAAAAATTGAGGTAAAATTGCGATTTGACTTGTCCTGGAGCAACCCTTTCGCACGAAATGAGGGTCGATCGGCAAAAACTGAAGTAAAATTGCGATTTGACTTGTCCTGGAGCAACCCTTTCGCACGAAATGAGGGTCGATCGGCAAAAACTGAGGTAAAATTGCGATTTTACTTGTCCTGGAGCAACTTTTTCGCACGAAATGAAAGTCGATCGGCAAAAACTGAGGTAAAATTTGACTTGTCCTGGAGCAACCCTTTCGCACGAAATGAGGGTCGATCGGCAAAAACTGAGGTAAAATTGCGATTTTACTTGTACCGGAGCAACCCTTTCGCACGAAATGAAGGTCGATGGGCAAAAACTGAGGTAACATTGCGATTTTACTTGCCCCGGAGCAACCCTTTCGCACGAAATGAGGGTCGATCGGCAAAAACTGAGGTAAAATTGCGATTTGACTTGTCCTGGAGCAACCCTTTCGCACGAAATGAGGGTCGATCGGCAAAAACTGAGGTAAAATTGCGATTTTACTTGTGCCGGAGCAACCCTTTCGCACAAAACGAGGGTCGATCGGCAAAAACCGAGGTAAAATTGCGATTTTTCGTGTGCTGGAGTAACCCTTTCGCACGAAAAGGGGTTTGTGTGTACGAGCGTTTCTGTGTAAAGATGTTTGTGTGTAAAAGTGTTTGTGTGTACAAGTGCATCTGTGCAAAAGTGTTGTGTGTAAAACCTTCTGTGTGTAAAAGTCTTTGTGTGTAAACGGGTTTGTGTGTACGAGTGTTTCTGTGTAAAGAAGTTTGTGTGTAAAAGTGATTGTATGTAAAATTGCATCTGTTTAAACGTGATTGTGTGTAAAAGCTTCTGTGTGTACAAGCGTTTGTGTGTAAAAGCAGCTCCTGTGTGTAAAAGGGTCTGTGTGTAAAAGTGTCTGTGTAGAAGCGTCTGTGTGTAAAAGCTTCTGTATGTAAAAGCTTCTGTGTGTAAAAGCTTCTGTATGTAAAAGCTTCTGTATGTAAAAGCTTCTGTGGGTAAAAGCTTCTGTGGGTAAAAGCTTTGTGTGTAAAAGCTTTGTGTGTAAAAGCGTCTGTGTGTAAAAGTGTTTGCGATGCAAACTATTGTCTTGCACTTCTCACTATTTTGTCTTGATACTCCTCTTCTCGACTGCCTATAACACAGCTTTCATATATCGTTTCTAATATTGCGTCTCCATACTAACAAGAGAAGACCCTGCTCCTCTACGCTCTCGGGCCATCCGTCGTCTAGTTCAAATTTTCAATGATCAGCAGTGATGGATTCTGGCGTTCATGGGGTTTCAACTTAAGTATAGAAGAAGGAAACCCTTTGAAATCAAGAGAGTTGGAAAATAAAACAACATGGGATTTCAGCACTGGTGGTTGATAACGGCCCCTCATGGGGGAGTGATTTTTGCTCTAAAAATGGTCAAAATTATTGATATTTACATGTATTTACAGTGTTTTGTGACCAAAGTGGGCTTAAAACCGTTATTTTAGAGCAAAACATAGAGTTCACCTCCAAAGGCTCTCACATGCTGTCATAAATCACTGGCATTTACAGACTCTTGTGGCAGGATTCAACTTTTCCTGTGAGGCTTGCAAAGAACTACAAACAATCAGCACATAACAGAAAACATCTGCTGCACAACATGCCATAAGAATGGGTAGCTGCACATCTTGGAACAGAATATACAGTAGCAATAGGTGACTAGTGTGGTGGAGGTGTTGGAGAAATTCTATTGTTAAAAGCAATTGATATGATATAGGTGTTTCTTCATGAACTTGTTAGATTGATATCATCTTAACATATGTTGTATATAGAAGCATCTGCGCTACATAAGAAGTATGGTGGGAAGGGCATACATTATATAGGTGGATATAACACAAGCACATCTAACACTCTGGATAAGAAGGATGGTGGGAATGTTACAACTCAAGAAGTAGGTACATATCTCGTTTATCATTGTTATCTTGCAGAGTCTTGTCAGCAGTCTCATTTCAATAGTTAGACAGAGAGAGAGAGAAAGCCAAAGAGACAAAGACGTGTGTCAAGCTGTTGAGTATTAAGGTCAGGCAACCTGTGTGGTGGCATAGCTATTCAAAGATAACGGTATGTTTGCTTCTTTGAAACATAAGTTTAAAATATGGCCAAGGTCCAAACATACACAATCTAGAATCACCAAAACCTGCACAGGCATCAAATTATAGGACCGGGTAACCCCACATGTTACCAACTTTTCTAGACTTAGACTGAGCACAGAAAAGCAAGAAGGGAAGAGGAAGTATAAGAGTGATGGAGGGGTGATGGTGGGTGAGTTTGTGTGTGTGCGTATGTATGTGCATGCGCAGGTGAGTGAATGAGAATGTGAGTGAGTGATGTGAGTGTGGTGTGTGTGTGTGTGAGTGAGTGAGTGAGTGAGTGCGTGCGTGCGTGCGTGCGTGCGTGCGTGCGTGCGTGCGTTCGTGCGTACGTCCGGCGTGCTGCGTGCGTGCTTGCGTGCGTTCTGGCGTGGGTGGGTGGGTGGTGAGTGAGTGAGTGAGTTAGTGAGTGAGTGAGTGGCAAAAGAGGCGGGGGGGAGCCCAGGGACGCCAGGGGCGTACTCGCACCCTTGGGGCAATGCACATTGTCCCACGCCTTCCACGATTGAGTGAGTGGGTGGGTTGCAAAAGAGTCGGAGCCCAAGGGACGCCAGGGGGCGTACATCCGACCCCTTGGCAGGCACATTGTCCCCACGCCCTGCCACGCAAAAGAGGCGGAGACCAAGGGACGCCAGGGCGTACATCCGCCCCCTTGGCAGTGCCCATTGTCCCACGCCTGCCACGCAAAAGAGGCGGAGACCAAGGGACGCCAGGGCGTACATCCGACCCCTTGGCAGTGCACATTGTCCCACGCCTCCCACGCAAAAGAGGCGGAGCCCAAGGACGCCAGGGCGTACATCCGACCCCTTGGCAGTGCACATTGTCCGACGCCTGCCACGCAAAAGAGGCGGAGCCCAAGGGACGCCAGGGCGTACAGCCGACCCCTTGGCAATGCACATTGTCCCCCGCCTGCCACGCAAAAGAGGCGGAGCCAAAGGGACGCCAGGGCGTACCTTTGGAGTGCACATTGTCCCACGCCTGCCACGCAAAAGAGGCGGAGCCCAAGGGACGCCAGGGCGTACATCCGACCCCTTGGCAGTGCACATAGTCCCACGCCTGCCACGCAAAAGAGGCGGAGCCCAAGGGACGCCAGGGCGTACATCCGACCCCTTGGCAGTGCACATTGTCCCACGCCTGCCACGCAAAAGAGGCGGGCCCAAGTGGACGCCAGGGCTTACTCCGACCCCTTGGCGTGCCCATTGTCCCACGCCTGCCACGTCAAAGAGGGCCGGAGTCAAGGGGACGAGGGCGTACATCCGACCCCTTAGGCAGTGGCACAT